GGGGGCCATGAACCGCCCGCAGCCGCTGGTCATCCAAGTCTGCAGGTGGGGGGCAGCGCGTGGGAGGGGGGCGCCTTCCTTGCCCCCTTGTTTTCCCCAGCAGTGTCTCTGGCCTGTCCTGGGGGGTGGGGAGCAAGTGTCTCCATCCCCCCAACCCACACGGGCTCGGAAGCTGGCGCATGTTAAAGCACAGGGCTGAGAATCAGGGCTCATGGGTTCTGCGCTTGGCACTGGGAGGAGCATGGAACCTAGTGGTTAGAGTGTGGGGGGGGGGCTGAGAATCAGGGTGCCTGGGTTCTGTGCTTGGCACTGGGAGGAGCATGGAGCCTAGTGGTTAGAGTGAGGGGGAGGCTGAGAATCAGGGCGCATGGGTTCTGCGCTTGGCACTGGGAGGAGCATGGAACCTAGTGGTTAGAGTGTGGGGGGGGGGCTGAGAATCAGGGTGCCTGGGTTCTGTGCTTGGCACTGGGAGGAGCATGGAGCCTAGTGGTTAGAGTGAGGGGGAGGCTGAGAATCAGGGCGCATGGGTTCTGCGCTTGGCACTGGGAGGAGCATGGAACCTAGTGGTTAGAGTGTGGGGGGGGGGCTGAGAATCAGGGTGCCTGGGTTCTGTGCTTGGCACTGGGAGGAGCATGGAGCCTAGTGGTTAGAGTGAGGGGGAGGCTGAGAATCAGGGCGCATGGGTTCTGCGCTTGGCACTGGGAGGAGCATGGAACCTAGTGGTTAGAGTGTGGGGGGGGGGCTGAGAATCAGGGTGCCTGGGTTCTGTGCTTGGCACTGGGAGGAGCATGGAGCCTAGTGGTTAGAGTGAGGGGGAGGCTGAGAATCAGGGCGCATGGGTTCTGCGCTTGGCACTGGGAGGAGCATGGAACCTAGTGGTTAGAGTGTGGGGGGGGGGCTGAGAATCAGGGTGCCTGGGTTCTGTGCTTGGCACTGGGAGGAGCATGGAGCCTAGTGGTTAGAGTGAGGGGGAGGCTGAGAATCAGGGCGCATGGGTTCTGCGCTTGGCACTGGGAGGAGCATGGAACCTAGTGGTTAGAGTGTGGGGGGGGGGCTGAGAATCAGGGTGCCTGGGTTCTGTGCTTGGCACTGGGAGGAGCATGGAGCCTAGTGGTTAGAGTGTGGGGGGGGGCTGAGAATCAGGGTGCCTGAGTTCCGTGCCCAGCACTGCCACTGACTTGCTGTGCAGCCTGGGGTGAGTCTCTTCATACCTCAGTTTCCCCAACTGCAAAATGGAGGCTTGTGCCACATGGCAGGAGCTAGTGGGGAGACCCACCAGGAGGAGACAGGCCAACAGCCCGGATGGAGGCTGCTTCTCACAGGGCAACCAAATATCCCCCGGTGAATAGAAAAGGAGCCAGAGTCTCCCAGCCCTGTGCCACAGGCGTCCTCTACCCCCGAGTGGCCCATACACCCTTACTTCCCCAGTGCCCAGGCTGCTCAGCTGGGCTTAGCCCCGTCCTCTGGCTCTGGTGGCGCCGCAGCCCCTGGCATGAAGAGAGGG